ATAACATTATTGTGGCTATCGATTGTATGTACATCTTTCAAAACTATTTTATTATTGTCTCATTTTTACACAAAGAGAATGAGCGGGATGATAAAGTGGAGGCCAGAGGAATCTCATCGTAAAGATGTACCAATTATAACTGTCGAAATTAAAAAAGGAGAAAAAAATAGAGAAACCACAAATGCATTGTTGATATTTCTCTAGGCGCTTATCTCGACCCTAAGTCGTAACAGTTTGAAAATAACTTGCATCACTTGTTAATATTGCTTAAATGATATCGCTTAGAGATAGTTTACAATATACTCTACCATAGTTGTTAGTCGCTAGATGGCGCTGTTCTCTCTCGGCGCTTGTAACTCGCACCACCGCCTGGTACTAAGGAAGCTGCATTAGTAGGTAAGTCTGTTGTCTGCATTTTGTCTAATCAACCATTTCCATCACATTTGCTATAGAGAAATCATTTCCTTGTCACCTTGTTGGTAATTAGTTGTGTTTATTAAGTCTTTGATGTTTGATGAAAAATAATTTTAAGAAAGAAAGTTCGCAGATAATTAAATAAAGCTATTAAACATATAATACATACAGGTATATGGTGTTTAGTCGTAGTATTTTTAAGTTTACAGTTTTTTTTATTCAATAGCACCAACTACTCGTAGGTAAAATCAACGATAATTTTAACAAAACAGTTATGTACATAGAAATACCTCTACATTTGTCACTTAACGGGCTAATACGTTTTATTACGTAAACTAATTATAATCTAAGTACTTCTAAACGTATATCAAAGCTTCCCTAAAAATGCGTAATGTGACCCTGAAAAACCGTATTGCGAGCTCCCGCTGAGTGCGGCACTAAGGGCCCATTCAGACGGGGATTATGTCGCGGTAATGTGAGCCAATCATGTGATTAACACCTATTGCTGTAATACCACGACACAACAAAATCGCTTGCAGTATAACACTTATAAATGTAATCAAATATCATACATTGCGGTTTTTAAATGGTGATACAAAATATTGTATCACAAAAACAGCAATGGATGAGTAACAGTACCAAGAATACGTATCTATCACGGTGGGGATATAATGTCGAATTTCACGGTGCAATAATGAGCGATAAAAATATAGTGAATGAAT